GAAAGTACTTTGTACTACTAACCAAGGAGGGTTTATATCGGTACAGTCTATACGTGCAGCTGGCTTCAGGCCCGACTGCCAGAGCCCCTGGTAGTTCAGAAAACCTTTTGTTTTGTAGTAAGTGCACAGGGCCCCCAACTGTGTAAAGAAACTCTTCTCATTTAATCGGGGACAAATACATAAGACACATTCAGTATTTTCTCCCACGGGTAGTCCTGAGTATTACGTATCAATATCCTAGTTAAGCTACATACTTTATATCTAAAGTGGTACAGCTTCTCTCGGTATGTTTGAACTGGTCTCTTTCCTGGCTTTTCCAGTGTAATTCCAAAGGCCAAGGAGAAAAGGAAATGTACACACTGGGAATCACTAACTTCCCGATACCTGGGGAGCCTGGCTTTCCACTCAATGCCATCTATGTCAAACCTTCCAACAAGCAAGAGGACGGTAAGAACAAAAGCAGCCTTGTCGCTTAACTTCAGGCTACAGCATGGATCCAACAGCCTGCTTTATTTCTGTGGCTGTCAAACAGCCTTGTGAATCAGTGATCCTGCTTTCTCTGTGTACCTGGAGTCAGACTGACTGAGTTTGGGACAGAGTTACTATGCTGTATCCCTGCTAATCCTGTCAAGTGAGCAGCTCTGCTCCAATCCCACAACACGGGAAACTAAACTGTGGTAATTTACCCTGCTGTGCTCAGGACTAAGCAAACCTGGCTCAGTAAGTGTTGAAAACAGAAGGTGATGCTAGGGGTGCAGACATTGCTAATCCACTCTTTAGCCAGCATATCAGATGGCTTTGCTGTTGGCTGCCAGAACTAGTCTTACACAGTACACTGCACACTCCAATCTGTATTGGTCCATGCTCTCTTCCAGAGGTGATGAGGGCCTACTTACAGCAGCTGAGACAAGAAACTGGACTTAGGCTTTGTGAAAAGGTGTTTGATCCCCAAAGTGACAAACCTAGCAAGGTAAGATGCTGTTCTCACAAACTGGTCAATACATTTTCTTTTTTTTAATCCCAGTTTTTTGGCCTCCATTTTTTTCCTGATTAGTGGACATGCGGGGAATGTCAGCTTCAGGGGAAAAGAAAATAATTCTGGATTTGCTCCCTAAGGCATGTGTTTGGAGAACGGAAGTCAGAGGCAGCAGGGAGATGGATAGGAGGGTAGCGCCCTGTGATTTAGATGAGTCTGTAAGTGAGATGGTAGCAAAAGCCAGGCTAGGCTGCACAGGCAGAAGCATCCTGTCCAAGAACACAGAGGCAACAGTCTGTTTGTTGGTCAGTCCTGCAAAGTGCTAGGTCCCAGCTGGTCACACTCAACTGCATAGAAGAGAACGCGTCTGGTACTGAGGGTACTTGGCCTCTTCCATAGTGAACGATGCAGTTCTTCCTGTGTGGGGAAAAGCACTTTGCTAATGGATGTATTGGTTAACGCAGGGATGGGCCACACAGTGGATCTGGCCAGTAGATTTCCCAGTGTCGCTGGGGCCGGTTTCCATGGAGATCTTGGGAGCGGTAGGGCTGTGCCAGCGTGGGGCCAGGGTTTCCATGCAGACAGCCCAGGCAGTGCTGGCAGAGAGCTGCTCCAGGGCTGGGGGTGGGATTTTGCAGTGGTGACAGCATGGTCCAAACTGGGGCAGAGCCATGATTCACTACCTGCATGCCCCGCTCTGCCTTGGCTGCAGCCCCCACTCATTGCCACAAGCTCCTGGCCCTGGAACAGCTGCCTGCCCAGCCACTGCCCTGCCAGTGTTGCTTGGTGGTCTCCATGGAAACCCTGGACCCACTGCTTCTGGGGTCTCCATGGAAACTGGCTGCAGTGAGGCAGTCAGAGGCTGCTGGGAAATGGGAGTCCACTATGGGTCTGAATGGACCAGACTTCACTCATCCCTAAGTTAACTCCTTCCTTTCATTTCTGCCCGCCTTGGTGTGTTGTTTCTGAGAAGAGGTTACAGCCTAGGGTAGATGCATTTTGCATATTTGCTCAGATGCTTAGGCCAGTTTTGAACAGTAACTTCAATATTATTGAGCTAGTTATGTTTCAAAATGAGTGTTGACTGCCTGATGTCTAGAGTCTGGTCCAGAGACTTGTGCATCAAAGGCAAGGAGTCTTGTTTTTTAAAACAACTAGTATGGGGCTTTCTTAAATGGCCACTTCTGGGAAAGAAATAACTGAAAAGATTTCAGAGTTTTAAAGACAATTTCCACCCACCCCCCACCTCCCCAAATACTGCTTAGCTTCCAGATCTAGACTGGAACTGCATGCAGTACACTTTGAGGTGTGTATGTCTCTCCTTTTTTTTCCAAATAAGCAAGATACTTGGAAGCTAACATTGAAACAACCACCTTAAAGAGTATTTTAATGCAAGTGTCCCAGTGTTACAATCTGAATTATCCTGTATTGCCTGCCTTGAGTGCCTAAAACTCCAGTTAAAGCCACTGTTGAAAACTGGATCCCCGGTCTGTGCAGAGTGGGGTTTTTACATAGTGGGTGTCAGGCAGAACACAGAAGTCCTGCTTGGTTGATGTAGACTGCTTACTTGGAAACTCCTCTGGTATATCATCTCACTGTGGATTTCTCTCTTAGTGGTGGATCTGCTTTGTGAAGAGACAGTTCATGAATAAGAGCCTGTCAGGTCCAGGACAGTAAAGAAGCAAAGAGGAATGGCAACAAGGTTAAGCAGTCTACAGCAAGGTGTAAAAAATATTTTGCTTTTGCTTCATACATGTTTTGTACCAAGGAAGAATAAGTGCTTATGAGGGAAAGCTGTCAGTCAATGCGGGGAGGTGGAGCAAAAGGACCCTTGAATCCTGTAAGTGAACAATATTAAGCTGGTGCTTAATAAACCATTTCTAACATGCTGTTTCAGATCAATGCTGCTTTTATTATCAGTTGCCTCATATATAATGTGTCTTACATGTGTCCTGCAGTTACTCTGCTGGCTAGAGTCATTGCCACTTAGGCTGTATTGTAAAGCATGGTGAATTTTACTCCTTTTTCTAATAAACTTAGCTTATTTCACATGATACCTGTTTTATCTCTTATGAACGTGGATAGCTATACAAAAATGAAAGCTTGCTTTGTTATGTTTGTGCCAGCAAGCCTCAAGTAAATTTGAGGGTCTGTTTTATAGGAGCTGTAGAAACCTGTGGTAAGAAATGTTTCTTGCCCTGACAAGGGTTACTGTCTAAATAATACAGATGGGAAAGGAAGGAGATGCAAGGGTAAATGGCTACCCAGGGTTACACAGGCGCAGAGAGTAGAATCCTGGGATAAATTCTCGATGCCACTGAATGTGGCCAGGACTTCCCCCTGAGATCCAGGCCCCTACTTCAGTCGCTGGTCCATCCTACTTTGGGACTCCAGAGTGCCACCCTTGCAGTGGGAAGTCTCTCTCTGTCTTCTCTCTGCTGGATTAAACACAAGGGATCCTGACCCTGAAGACTTTATTCAGGCCACTTTCTCTTCTGTGAGATGTTTTTCAATGAAGATCATATTGCAGTGAGCACTGTGGCAATGATGCCACCTGCGTGAAGACTGGCGTCATTCTGGGCTGTAAGCTGCCATTGGCTATATAGTTGCATTAGGGCAACCGCTGACATATAGGTGTAACTTGTTGTTCTAATTAAGGGAGATTTGCAGAAGACATCGAGTGTTGATCACCTCATAGCATTCTTCTTCTCAGGCAAGTGTTGCACACTAAACAGGGATGGAGCAGAAAGGGGAGTGGATGGCTTAGAGCTGGAACACTCAAAAAATGGCGAACGATACTTTGGACTGATAAGCTAGTAAAGAAGAACGCTTGGATGGGATGTCTACAGCTGGAATATGAAACCATCAGCAGTAAACTGAGTTGCTCAAATTTTGATGTTTTAGGAGGATGAAAGATTAGGCAGCTACTGGCAGAGAAGGCTGGAACGGGAAGGGTGGCTGAGGGTATTCTGCACCTCCTAAAAAAAATCAGATCCTGGGTGATTGAAGTCTCAATGCACCCAGTAGTATAGTGCTGCCAGAGGCTCTGTCTTATGCTTAAGTAACCAATGCTTGGTGCTGTGGCTTTCATACTAAGCCCTTGCAAAAGGAAAAGGGAAGTGCTCCTGTAGAAAGCTGAGTAGAACTAATAGTAGGGCTGCAGTTTACAAACCCATACTCGTTTATCCCAGCTCTTTGTAGCAGGGCCGTGCTCCTCTGCACCAATGCTCATTCAGCAGTTACCAGTGCCACGCTCCGCCCAGCTGCCCCTGCAGTCTCGCCAGCCACAACCCAACGCACCAGCCTGCGCAGCAGCGCTGATCCTGAACCTCTTCGTTCAGATGGAGGAGACTGAGGATCGGCCCACCCTGGGCGAAGGAAAGAAAGACAAGATCCCTTCTGCTGCGCTGGCCATGTCTAACTGTCTCCCTGAGTTAAAAGCGGAGATCTACAGCAGTGTTTCCCCCCCTTTTCCAGCCCAAGGCTCGCTTGCGTTAATAACAATTGCCCCCGGCACACTTGTTAAGGCAGTCCCCTTCCTCATACCTATTGTAGCTCATTGCCGTGACAAAACTCTGCATCTGTTCAGTGCTGATGGCACGCTGGTTGGGAAACACCCCTCTCGAGTCCTGTTCCACTTCCCCCCAGCCACAGCCATTGCTCGTTCCTGTCCTCTGTCACTGACTGAGCAACCGGCCTGAATTCACAAGGGCAGTGTGAGCACAGCTGGCGAGCGCTGCGCACGAGAGCGAGTCCCACTGCGCACGCGCACGCCGGCCACCAGCTGGCGACTGCGCGCGCCCCCCCCCTCCCTCGGCGCATGCGCAATCGGCTTTACCCCTGAGACGCCCTCCTTAGTGCCTGCTTGCAAAACTCGCCACTTGTGCCCGGCCGCGCGGCAGAGGGGGTGGGAGGGAGGTCTCAGTGGCGGGCATCAGCAGCAGCGCCGCTGGCGTGAATCCGAGGCGCGGGTACAGGCGCCATCCCCGGACTCCTATATCCTCCTGAGGGCGAGGCCCCCTCGGCGGCGCCATTTTGGAGGCTCGCGACGCCTCAGCCGCCCGGAGCCGCCTCAGCGCCGACATGAGCGTGGTGGAGCACGTGCGGGAGATGGCGGCCGCCGGGCTGCACTCCAACGTGCGCATCCTCAGCGGGCTGCTGCTCACCATGAGCGGCAACAACCCGTGAGTCACGGGGCGGGGCGCCCGTTGGCGGTTGACCGTTGACGGTTGGCCGTTGGCCGCGCCCCCCTGTCCCTGCTCCTCCCCCGGGGCTGGATCGTCCCGTGCGCTGTGGGGGCTGCACTTGGAGCGAGGGTCTGGCAGGGAGCCCCCAAAATGGTTGAAGGGCTGGGGGAAACAGCTCATCCTGAGAGACTTCTGTTGCCCTTCTCAAAACAGAGGTTGAGCACGGCCTGGGCTAGTAAGTGAAGCCCTTCAGTGGAAGAAAATCTTGGGTCCAAAAAAACTCCCTTTAACCTAACAGAGAACGGCGTAACAAGAAGCGAGTTGAAGCCGGGCAGATTCGAGGTGGGAAGGAGGGACCGATTTTGAACGGGCACGACTAACCCGGCAAAGGAAATCACGCGTTTTATCTCTTGATGTCTTCGGATCACGAACAGAGTTTTTTGAAGATGTTTTAACCGAGATAGTGACGGGTTCAGTACCGCGTGACTGGATAGCAGCGGCAGCGTTGTCTCTAGAGGAGCGGTTTGCGCGTCGTCAGTTTAAAACGATACAAACTTAAGTGCCACCAAAAAAGTTTCAGTTCAAACTTATGTGGCACCAGCACATTTTTGTCGTATAAAGTTATTATAATAAATCTGTGAACGCGTACCGCTGGTGGTACGTGTACCGCGGTTTGGGAACCGGTGCTGTAAAGGCACAAGTTTGAGCATCGCTCCAGATTTGTACTGATTCTAAAATCCAAGTCCGCTTGCTCTTCAAGAGGATGATTCACAGAGGGTGCGTCTACATGAGATGTTTAATGCGCATTAGACTAATTCTACTGCGCATTAGGGCGGCTGGCAAAAACCATGCTAATGTACAGTAGACATAGTCTAATGTACATTAACGTCACAAAAAATGTTCATCTGCGCTAATGTGCACTGGCACCGATTACAGTGCATTAAGTTAATACCTATTATTTTATTGCAGGTACTAAACTTAATGCGCCATAATGACATGCATTTAAGAACATGTAAATGCACCCAGTATTCACCGCTCGGGAGTCATTAAAGACGTGCTTAGGGTTGCTAAGGCTATTCTCGCCTTGGGTTAAAACGCTTGTGAATGAAAGGTGCAAATGTTGCACTCCTAGGTCTTCCACTTCTGAGTCATAGCTAAGGGCCTCCTTCCTAACACTGAGAACTTAGGTTCTAGCAAATTTGTCCGTATCATGTCATCAGACAGTTCAGTTAAGCATCACTTTTTTTTTTCTTCCAGGGAGTTATTCTCCCCTTCTCAAAAGTACCAGCTGCTTGTGTATCATGCAGACTCCCTCTTTCATGACAAGGAGTATAGGAATGCTGTAAGTAAGTATACAATGGCCTTGCAGCAGAAGAAGGCTTTAAGTAAAACTTCAAAAGTTAGACCCTCTACTGGGAATGCTGCATCAACTCCACAAAGTCAGGTACTTGGGCTGTTGGTGTGTTCATGTTGTGACTTTAGATTATAACATTGCTATACTAAAGTAGCCTGAATTTTTAGACTGGTTAACTACTAATGGCGCTGAACTCATGAAAAACATAAGATGGTTACCTGGGGCCAAAATTTTGCTTCTTAAATTTACAGTTTTCATTTGGAAGCTACAAAATAGCCTGAGTTATGCAAGTACAGCTTACCATCTTCCTTGCACTTTATTTATCTTTAATGAAAAATCTGATAGAAAACTTATGATTCAGCCATTTCTTTTCATATAGTTAAAACAGCATTTGAGAGGTTATATTTTAGCAATCTGTTTTATTTTAGTGTCTGCCATCTGAAATTGAAGTGAAATATAAAATGGCTGAGTGTTACACAATGTTGAAGCAAGATAAAGATGCCATTGCTATCCTGGATGGAATTCCTTCAAGACAAAGAACCCCAAAGGTAAATCCCTGGATGTGTTTCTGGTCTGAGAGGACAGAGGGCAGGGCAGGGTGGCACCTTAAAGAGGGCACGGATACCAGAAAGGCATGATCTTTTGTAAACTATAGCCTACCTTCCTCACATGCATCTAACGTAGTAGATGTGGGCCGTAGCCAACAAAAGCTTATGCCCATGAATGAGTTATGCTGTAAGTGCCGCCCTGTCATGGTTTCTGTGTACCATCAGACTAAGGCAGCTAACTACCTCTCCCTGCTGAGAGGGTAGTTTGGGTATATTTGGAGCTGAATGTTAACATTTGGCCAGAATTGCAAATCTAGCTTTGTATATATAAAGACATCAACCCTTGGCACTTGTGGTTGCAACGTCCACATGAGATATTTGGAAATGCTCCTTCAGTAGTTTATACTAGCTAAGTTTATTTAGCTCATTTTCTTTAAAGCAGGAGATCGCTATATGGATTTTATTTGAAAAAAATCACCTAAGTAAAAGGAACTAAACACTTGTGTGTCTTCCCCAGTTAATTCCTGTGAAAATTAGTGAGTAACTTACTAGTGGGAATTACAAAATCTCTCCTGTGAGAGGAAGAATAGACCCTTTAACTTCTAGTGGTATGTGTCTAACTCATTTAGGACTGAGGATTCTACCAGACTTACAAACATTCTGCTTTTCCCTGGTAGTCTGTTAACACTCCAAAACCTTTCATACCTGGTTTTTACTTTCCTCCAGACAAAGACTAATTGCTGTGCTGGTAAATACCCTAGCTCTGAGTGTGGTGATCCTCCCACCAGATTCCTGAATGCTGCTAGGAGGACAGCTTGTGTAGGAAACGAAGTGCTGCTGTCTGTTGTGACCTCAGCAGCGTGTGCTTCTTGAGGCTGAAGAAAATTCCTGGCCTGATGAATAGAAGGGAAAAACCCAGCAACTATGTTCCCTCAAGATTCTTCTCCCCTGGTTTAATGGTAGTTTATGTAGTGCTAAATATTTAGATCACAGCAGCATGCAGAGCCAAAAATGTTGAGTCTTTTGTTTGCTGGCTCTGTCATCTAGTTAATCTCTTGAACCATTAACACCTTGTGCACTTTAACTGAGGTTTGACTGTTAGCATTACATTTTGGCCAGTGTAACTAACTACAAGGTGTCTTACCATAAGCCAGGCTTACTGCACAAAAATGAAAACATTGAGAGGCCAAGCAGTTTCTTCCCCTTGTATGTCAGCAAACCAAAATAACTGTGCCACAAAAGCTAGCTGCAATGACCTGAATTTAAGCTATTTCCTGAGCAGTTAAGTTATTCAGAACCTAAATAAAAAACCTCCACCTCCCAAAGGTTACAGTTCTGGCAGCCTTTCCTCACTATGTAGAGAAAGCTGGTAAAAGGAAACCAACGTAAGATGCAGCTGTTTGTCAGGTATCGCTTCCACGTATGTAGATAGTTGCATATATCAGGATTTAATATATGCAAAACTGAGGTTTTCAGAGGCCTTATGCAACTATAAAAGGATTACCTCAGTTTTTGCCTTCTGAATCAGAAGAAACACTTATTTTACAGGATACAATGAATTGTAAAGCTGGGTTCATAACTTCTGTATTCTACTTAGAGCTGGAAAGATGGGGCTATAATGAATCTAGGGCCTTCTCTCGGTGATGAACCTCTGCCCTACATAATTGTAGACTGGATTATCATCACAGCCAATACTTTTTTTTTTTTCTTTTTTTCCCTCTCTCTCTACAGATTAACATGATGTTGGCAAATTTGTACAAGAAGGCAGGTCAGGAACGGTCATCTGTTACAAGCTATAAAGAAGTGCTGAGGCAGTGTCCTCTAGCGCTTGATGCTATACTAGGTAGAGTTCTTTTTTTCTACCAAATACTTAAATATTTAATCTTAAACAATTTTATTACCGACATGCAGTGCTTGAGACTTAGTAAATGAGCAAATACAATCTAGGAATTATACAGGCAGTTATTTATAATAATCTGTATAAGTTTACAAAGCAATTAAATTGTCATTCTTTAAAACAGTTAGCTAACTTGTATTACCAACTGCATTGGTTACTTGAAACTTGACTGGTGTGTTTTTCTGAATAGGTTTGCTCTCCCTCTCAGTAAAAGGTGCAGAAGTGGCCTCTATGACAATGAATGTAATTCAGAGTATCCCCAACTTGGACTGGCTTTCAGTGTGGATCAAAGCATATGCTTTTGTGCACACTGGAGATAACACCAGAGCAATCAACACCATCTGGTAAGAATCAAGGTGAATTAAAGTGTTCTTGAATCGTTACTCTGCATAGGATGTTAATAGATTTAAACACATTGTTTGACATGGTATGGTATGAATTTTGTGCTGTGTAGGGCTATGCAGTTCCAATCTCTAAACATTCCTTGGATTTTGGCAGATGCCAAACGAAACATCTCAGGTGGGGGAGGGAGGAGGAGAGTGTCCCCCGTATTGGAAGAATCTTGATTTGGAAGTCTGTGTAGCAGAAAAATAATGATATTCTAGACTTACTGCCAAAGTTTGTGGCAAACCTTTTTAAAAGCAAGTTACTGTGAGCCCACCTCCCTAGTGTTTCATGTTATGAACTGTTTAACTTCTTGCTTCTGGATGTAGTTCAAGTTACTAGTGATGGTCTGTAAAGCTTTTAGTGGGTCTAAGATATGCTTTGATGACACACTGAGGTTTAACATGGCAGCACACACCATCTTAGCAAATGCTGCTTGCTTCTGGCAGCAGGATATTTTGGTAGAGGTCTGCTGCCTAAAAAACTTTCTCACTATTCCATTTTGGCAGCCTTCAGCAAGCAGGGTAAGGCGTATGTGTGTTCAAGAAAACCTTGAATGCATTTTCACACAGTGTGCGGGCAGTATTCAATCAGCAAAGGCAGATAGCAGGGCTGTAGTTAAGTGGTACTGTTTTTTTGGTAATCGTAGGTCTTTTACTGATTGTCACATCTGTGCTTGTAAAAAAACAAAAACCCATGGTTACTTATTAGAAACAAACTGTAGGCTCCAGGAAGTGCATAGCAGTGAATGGTAAATAACAAGGTACAATGTTAAATGGCCACTTATTTTCTGTTAGCTCATTAGAGAAAAAGTCTTTGCTGAGGGATAACGTGGATCTGTTGGGGAGCTTGGCAGACCTGTACTTCAGAGCTGGAGACAATAAAAATTCAATTCTAAAATTTGAACAGGCACAAATGCTGGACCCTTATCTGATAAAAGGTGAGTAGTTGTAAATCTTTAAGGAATGTTATACTAATGTGTTAACCTTGTAAATATTAGCACAGATGAGAATGTTTATGTACCTGTTCATCTGTATGAAATGTGTATAGTTTCTGAAGAGCTAATAAAAGATACCACCTCTACAACAAGAGTTTTGTCTGCTTATAGTTTCTGAATGTACCTCAAGTAGTTGATGGCAGTCACTTAATGTAAAATAGGAGTTTTGCCTTGTCCATCATTATCCATCATCAAATGGTAGTACCCAAGAAGGTAGAATTGCTAGCTACAAAGAAACAAAGTAAGAATTAATTACTTTAAGAAGCTTGTGGGTTTTCTGCCTTCTGTATAAGCCAGGGATTCCCAGTGTGTGGCCTGTGGGCCATGTTGAGCCTGTGATGTGGCCCACCATGGACTGCCCCTTGGAAATGGTCCTTGGGGGCGGAAACCTTGTAGAAACATTCATACTTTAACTTTCTACCAGTTTTTGTTTCCTCCTTTTCCCATTAGTTGTATATGAGCATCTATCCCTTTGTCACTTAGTCCCAAAACATGTATGATCAAGGAAGAGTTGAGATGCAGTAGTATGAAATTGCTGATACCTTTTGGTGAACTCCATTGGATCCTTAAATCTTCATAAAATGTAAATTTGAAATGTCATGACTGGCAGCTCAAACAGTACAACTGCTCCTAAAGCTTTTCCTTTTAGGGATGGACGTCTATGGCTATTTATTGGCACGTGAAGGTCGCCTAGAAGATGTGGAGAACTTGGGCTGCCGACTCTTCAATATATCTGACCAGCACGCAGAGCCATGGGTTGTGTCTGGGTAACTGTCTTCTGCTTTTTTTTTCCTCTGCTTCCCCTGCGATTTAGTGAGCCTCTCTTAAGAGCATCAACATGTTTGGGGAAGGGAGATACGGTGTCATTAGTCTGAGAGTCTGCTTTGCCAGTTGCAGACATTCTGGGCCAAATGTAGCTCCACAATTTTGTATTTTGAACCATTTAATGCAGATTTTAGATCCCCTCTAACTCTTGTCCTTCTGATCATGCTCAGAAGAGCTCTTCTCTGGTCACTTAAGCTCTGTAGTAGTCCTACTTTCCTAATAGTGTTCCTGTGTTTTTTGTGTTTTATAGCTATTGGGTAATAAGACAGACAGCAGTGGAATAGTTTCTCCTTTGTTTATCAGGAGCAGGGGCCAAAACCCAGGCCTTTTCCCTTCTAGGGAAGTGCACTTCTCTGAGCCATACTCCTACTGGGTTGCTCTCCCTCTAGCTATACATATCTTCCTTGGTCAGCTACTCAGTTTCCATAAGAGGGAGGCGATTGCCTTGGCAAGTTCAGGCTGTGACCTGGTGGTTTGAGTATTTTCCAAGGAAATGTCAAGTGCAAATTTCCTCTGGGTAAAGGGAGCCTAAATCTGGCTCTTCCACCCCCCCAGGCAAGCACTGAATCCAATGGGCTGTAGAGCTAAAAAGTGAGAGGGCCCTCTTGCTCCTGCTTCTCCTCCAGTAACAAGCAGTCAATAGCTGTGTCTTTTTCAGTAACTAATGTTCAGGGATTTACCCAGAATTTATGCACATTTTTGGAGGAATAGGACTGCTACAGGGTATAAGTGGCTATAGTAGATCCTTCTGAGCATTCTCAGGTGAGTTGTACAAGGGAAAGGGGCAAGGGGCATTTTGGGCTGTTTTAAGTGCTGGACCTGGGCCCTCCAGAATCCCTTTAGGTTACTCTGTTAGAAATAGCTCATCTGTTTTTATCTAGTTACCTTTAAGCACCTTGGAACTATCAAGTCCGTTAACAGTTAATGCATTATAGTTTTGTGTAACAATTAGTACTTAAATCAGTGGCTTTGCAAAAGCCAATAAATATCAGATATGGCTTTTTGAGTAAGTTTGCCTGCTAGGAACAGTTTTACCAATAACTTTCCTTTTCAGCTTCCCATGAATGAGTATAGTAATCGTAAGTGTTGTGCTGCCTGTTTTTCTCTTTTTATGTAGGTGCCATAGTTTCTACAGTAAGAGATATTCTCGTGCCTTGTATTTGGGAGCCAAAGCTATTCAGCTCAACAGTAATAGTGTCCAAGCATTACTGCTGAAAGGAGCTGCTCTTAGGAACATGGTGCGAGTCCAGGAGGCAATTATACACTTCCGGGAGGCAATACGTCTTGCACCTTGCAGGCTGGACTGTTACGAAGGTGAGTAAAGTAAATGCTTTATACCCAGTACTGATAGGGCTTTGGTAGAATATAGTGGTGTCATAGTTGCAGCAAAGCTAGAAGCTGCCCTATTGTGGGTTCCATGAAGGCATGGTAATAGCACAGAGTTTCTGATGTATGCCTTTGCTTTCTAGTAGGTGAATGACATTGCAAGAGCTGCCAAGTAAAGATCACAGCAAACGAAGAGGAAAGTATTAAAGAGAGAATGAATGCATGCTTGTCAAGCAGAAAGTTGATTTGAATTTGGTGTAGTGAGACGCATGCTTGTTAAGTTGGCGTAATGCTTAATCTGTGCACAAACGGATTCTTTGCCAGCTCTAGGATTAGTTCCATTGGAAGCTTTAATCTTGGCGCATCATTGCCTAGGTAAATCATCTTCTACCAAACTGTAAGGCAGAAAAAAAATACTCTTAGCGGAGCAAACCTTCTTGCAGAGGTCTTCAGAGTTTAATACAAATTTTACTTTAAGCTTTCTTGAAAACCATCCCTTGATGTGGAGAGCTTTGAAGCATCAAATAGAAGCCGCTTGCCTTTTGGTCTTGGCATACTGTTTTCTGACATTTGCAGATAAGCAGTTACAGCAAAAGGTTGCTGAACTGAAGTGTAGTTTTCATATGCGGATTCATTTGTTAATAGGGTGTTATGGTGGGGATTGCAAACAGTTGCTATAATAGATTAGTCTCAGTGATCTTCATAGTCTGTTCAGTATGGCTGGTAGGTAGGCCTGCCATTTTCACCCCCAACCACACTTCAGGTAATCATAGCAACTCACTTGGCTTATATATTGAAATGTCTAAAGCCTTGGAGGAGAAGTGTTTGGTTCACTGTCAACAGCTGAAGCTCCAAAAATTGAGCAGAGCAGTTAAACTGAACTTGATTACGGCTTTTCTGCAACTTTTGTTAAAGAATCTCAAAAGGGAAACTGTTTAGATCTTAAAAGATTTCTGCAGTTTCAAATAAATAGTGATTTGCAAAGGATGCCAGTGGTGAGAAATATTTCTACTTCCATACTGGAAGTTGATGGATGCAAATCTTGGGAAATAAGTAGGTAGTTTAGAATTACCCTGCATAAGTCAACGGATATATTTATAATAAATCTATAAAGAGCTCAGTTTGCTCTTCAGAAGAAGCTAAATTATACACAGGAACTGAAGAGTCAGACTGTAAATTAATACCACTGAAAGAATTAACTTCAGCAGAAATGTGTGTGTATCTGTTGGGATACAATTGTGATGTAAAAATACACACAGGGCCTTCGATGCCAGTAGTTACTGACAAAATCATCGGATGAAACAGGGTTAAAAACATCCTGATTCGTATACCAGATCCTAGATCGTTTTTCTCACACACATTTGTCCCACTTCCCTTGCTTACTGTCAGCTCTGCTGATACTAGGCAGTTCTAGACTGAGAGGAGTTGCAGGGAATTGAGGGCAGATCCATGCATACTGAAATGAAGGCAAAAAACAAATGCCATACAAGCTTAGAAAAAAAGAGCATGAGGCATGCAAGTGAGGCAGCCTGGGGGGTGCAGGCAGTGGTGGTTTTCTTTCTGTATTGTTCGAGGGTTGTTTGGAGTACTCCCAGTGATTTATTGAGATCTCTCTCTGGTTCTTGCTCAGTAAAGGCAATTTTTCCAGTTCTTTTTCTTTTGCTCAGAATGGAGGACTCTGGTATATCTGATTTTTCTGGCTTCTCCAGCCCACCACTCAATGGATATATTCTCCCTTCATGTCCTATGAGCAGAATAATTTGTGTTGTGGTTCTCCACTTCTATTACCGTAAAGACTAAGTTCAGGAATGCTGTCCTTTAATTGTATAACTGCCTGCAAATGGAAGGATTTGGATATTGTTCCTTAAATGCAAAAAAGAAAGAATCAGGAGGAGGGAAAGTTCCCCTAAACAAATAATACCTCTGCTGGCAGAGGCTGAACTTGAGAGGTGTTCATCTAGCTTCTGGCTCTGCTATTGGTGATCTCTGGGACCAGAGGTCACTGAATCTCTCTCAGTTACTTGCTTCTTAGGGTGGCTTGTGGGTGCTGCTGTAAAGCAAATAATTGACTGAGGGGGTCTGTTTTGTATGCCAATACTAATGTGAATTAACTGACACATTTCTTTCGGTCTTCAGGCCTCATTGAATGTTATCTTGCATCTAACAGTATCCGTGAAGCAATGGTTATGGCTAACAATGTATACAAAACCCTGGGAGCAAACGCGCAGACACTTACGCTGTTGGCAACAGTCTGTCTTGAAGACCCGGTTACACAAGAGAAAGCAAAAACCTTATTAGATAAAGCACTGACACAGAGACCTGATTACATTAAAGCCGTGGTAAAGAAAGCAGAACTTCTTAGTAAGTTTCTTTTGAGATGTGTTCTTTTCCCTGCCCAGTCTTCTTGAAGCGCACTTCTTTGTATGAAATAATAGTGTTACAGCCAAAGATTCGCCAGTTCTGTAAATTATC